TTTTACAACGTCGTTGCCAAGCGACGAAAACCCAACCCCGATGGCAAACACCGGGAGGGGCGGCTTGTTTTACAACGTCGTTGCCAAGCGACGAAAACGCAAGCCCGATGGTAAACACCGGGGGGGGGATAGACAGACTAGGGAGACATTTTTGAGCCACCTTTGATTGGCAGAGTAAAAAGGAACGATTGGCCATCGGTGATCGGTCCTGTGGGAAGAATGCTCCGCGATCTCGAGGACGCTTGGTCAATGGTCTAACCGCTGAGGCATGCAAAACATGAGAGTACGCCCCCCCCCACCGCCACCGCGCGCAAAACCCGCCAAGTCCCCGCCGAGAGGAGCAACGTCGAGCTACAAAACAGCAAAGCTCAAGCGAGAAGAGAGGATAAGCCCGGCATCACTGACCAGGGTCGATCGACCTACTGTAGAGGGAGTGGCTCAGGGGGCCGGGGGGATGGGTGGTCTTCCACCATCAACGGCATCTACGGTACTTGCTTGGAGTCCTCGCCGCAGCACAAGCCCTACGAAGCACAAATCGGTAAATTTAGACCAAATACGATCGACCTACCATTCATTTCAAAGACACACCAAAAACACACGACACAGCATGGTACAAGACAGGGAGACCCGTTCGCGCCGTTATCGGGAGAAGACGACAGTTTCCAGAAAAAAAAAAAAACGCAACGTAACGTAACATCCGAATGAATGCCTCTGTCTCACACAAAACGGCAGCAGTCCGTGAGGGGCGCTGTTGTGGCGCAAACCGACGTACGGCGGCGGCCCTTGTGGTCCGAGAAGGCTATAATTTCCCTGACACATACAAAGTATTTTGCAGCGAAAGAGTTTCAACAGAGCAAAAGAACACAGAAAACATGACATAAAAATAAATGCACCACCACACCAAAAAAAAAGACCGCGAACGTCCAAACGCACGTTTCGGTTGGAAGGGTTTACACAGAGCAGGAACAAGACTCGACGGCCGTACGTCATCATGTCATCATGGTCGCCCTGACCCCGGGGCCCCTGCGGCTGATGAGCGCGCACCCTGATCGCAAAAGACGTGGTAGGCGGTGGCATGGCGTAAGGCGTATTGGCAATTCGGAGGGGAGTCTAAGTGGAGACCGCAACTTCATACGGCAGTAGCTGCAGCACAAGACGGTATACCACAAAAAAAGAGGGCGATACTGAGGCCCATGACATGCTACCACAACAGGGCGAGGAAGAGGCAGTACTGGGAACAGGAGGTCAGGTCAAAACGGTAACCCCACGATGCAACAACAACAACAAAGACGCAGCAGCGACACCGCTATATCCACGCACCAGACAAAAAGCCTGGACATGACGTACACCAACTTGGAACTGTCCGGGCACACAAGCATCCATGGCTTGTTCGCCTCGAGCAAGGGAAACATCTCATTCGGGCAACAACGTCTGAATTACCTTTCTTCGCGGCCTGGGCATTGGAAGAGGTCGGAATACCTCTTCCAAGGTCTCCTTGAAGCAATTAACGTTGTACTCGATCAGACCCTCTTTATCGTTGAAGTGGTCTGCTTGCATCAGGCACACCAGCGCTAAGTAGCTGCGAAGAAGAAGAGACGAGAAACGAGGAGGGAAAGCACGGTTAAACGCAACCGGACACGAGCTTTACGGCACGTGATTGAAGGTATCGCTATAATAACGGGGAAAACATATCTGTCAAGACGCAAGACCAGCGCGAAGAGTAACGCGGTCGGAGGGCAGTGGTGAATTAAGGAGGGGGGAAAACGGTGCAGCGCGGCATCCCACGGAAAAAAAAAAAAACTGCTTCTAGTTCTGCTTATTCGGGAATAGGAGTACCTTCCGTTTCTGACTACATTCGTGGCTCCGATATAAGATGGTGCCTTATACCAGAGGGGATTTCGACATAAGAGGGTCGATATCGGTGGTCACGGACTCGACCCTTTTTAGAATAGTTGACTTCTCTCTTGTTCTGATGTAAGAGGGGGCTCCGATATAAGAGCGTCGAGGACCTTCGTTGCACCACCCCCTTACATCGGAGACACGGCGGTAACGTACACGACACGGGCGATGACGACACAGGCAAACCTTACCTTTCGTAGTACAGTACGCCTACCTCATGTTGGGGATTCGATACAGTACTGTACTATCGATACCAGTATCGCTACAGGGCCAGGACAGCACTCCAACGATTCATGGCCAATGTCCCGCACAAGAACACCAGCACAAGCATGACGTCACACATGGACTTACGACACCTAGCACCTCCCCTCGCACACAATACCAAATAAATCTCAGACACCCACGGCTATGTTTGCGGCAGAACCAGAGGAAGAAAAAGCAAACAAAATAAAGAAAGAAAAAAGAAAGAAAAAAGAGTGGCGGGCCGCGTGATGAGAGACTGACTGACCTTCCCACTTGGCGCAAGTAGAGGACTGTCCCGTTGCTCAGTCTGAAAATGCTCGCGGAATGATCGTCGTACGGTTCTTTGCCCTCCTGTGCAAGGGGATAAAAACACAACAGCCTCGTAAGTATACACGCACAGCAGTAGCACGAAAAAAGGATACAACAGAAATCAAAAGACAATGTTTGTTTACACAACAGTATTGGAGCATGACAGGAGAGAGAATAACGTGGCCGTAGGGGATCGAGTTTCAAAAAAACCACGCCAACGGACAAAAAAATCGGGAAAGGAAGGATGCGTATGACGAAAGGGGTCAAGACCGCTTGAAACGGACGGCAACAGGAACAAGCGCCAGAAACAAGGGCGGGGGGGAAAAGAAACGTAGGCACGCGTGAAACGGTGTGATTGACATACGCAACCTAAAATAAAACCCTCCCCTGACGCCACAAGGCCATCTGTCCCGTCCTACACTACATTCGAGCAAGACACGGAGGAAGAAGGGACAATCTTGAGCCGATTCGATGCCGATCGCGTGGTACAAGAGAAGTGGGAAAAAAATGTGTCGCTACAAGAATCTACGGGTACACTGCCGCTGTGGGATTTGGTCTGTGGCAGATAGATATACTGTGATAGCGTAAGTTAGAACGTCCACGAAGCTTGA